TTATATATATATATATATATATATATATATATATTAGTATATTTAGGTTAAAAATACAAAAATACCTATATTTTTTTATTTTATTAATATTTGACATAAAAAATACTTTTTATAAATATACTTCATTTTATTTTATTTTTGTACATAATAAACAAATACTTGTATAAATTAAATAATATATATATTACTTAATAAAAATTAGGGTTTTACCCTTAAAATACAAAAAAACTCCAAAATAATACTTTTTTTTATTTTTATTTATTTGACATAAATAATACTTTTTTTTCATACATATAAAAACCTTTTTTTTGCATTTTTGCATCTTTATTTTATTTTCCATTTAATTTATGCAATCAATTATCTTGTAAATATTCCAAAAATTGATGTAATAGCTAGGTTTTAAATTCTTGTCTAAATATCCCCCCATTTGAACATTTGTACCCCCCCTTCCCATATTGTGTTGTAATAGTGTAGGAATTTTACTTTTCGCACTTTAACGCTTTCTAAATATACCATGCTAGAATTAGGGTTTGTATGCAAAATAAAAAGAACAAAATAGTTTGACCTAATTTCAAGATAAACAAGCATGAAATATGGACAACACATATCACACTTGCACCCCTAGGGTATTCCACTTGTTGCCTTCAAATAATTGGGCCATATTGCATGTTAGGTTTCTTTGGGTAAAACAAACAATTCAAAAGATCATAGTCCCCTCGATGACGCTTTCGAAAAGTTGCCTAAAATGATCAAGTCCCTTTCGAAGAGAAATTGCCCAAAGATACTTAGCACCATTGCAATTACGGTCTAAACGATGACCCGCGCCCGTCCCTTTCACCTCCTAATACAAGATTGTCCACCAAATGCAATGGTGGAACAAAATTGTCAAAAGGGTTAAAACATAGTAAAAATCTTTGAGAACTTTAGGGTAGATAGCTCTTAAGTACTTGCCCACTTGCCAAAGAAAACTCTTGTCTATTTTTCAAACCGCACTTCACAAACACTTTCAAAAAAACCTTGGAATATCTTTTTTCAAAAAAGACAAGCACCTTTTGTAAAACATTCGAGTAAATAATTGTTACAAGGGTAGCCTATACAAGGCATCTTTTTTTTTTTTCAAAACATTTTTCAAAACCATACACAAAGCACCATTTCAAACAATTGAAAACCAAGGCAAGTTGATCTAAGCAAGTACCTAAGAGCCCATGGATAACCATGGATAGAAAGGGTGCTAATACCTTCCCTTTCTATAATCTACTCCCCGAACCCAAGAAAAATCTCAAAAGGTTTTTGCTGTGCTTTTTAAACCTTTCCTTAGGATAAAAATAAAAAGTCGGTGGCGACTCTTGCTCAACCGAAACATTTGCGAAAACAAACGCAAAACCATAGTCAGTTCTCCCACCGTATCACAGAACTGGCGACTCTGCTGGGGATATTTTTAAAAGTGGAGTAACCTTAGGGCTTAGATCACCCTCTTGCATGACTAATTGTTTGAATTGATTACTTTATATCTTGGCTTTATTGTTTGGGTTTGCAATCCTACACCCGGATTTTTGGAAACATTTCATAGATAGCAATACGTTATGGAAACTGTGCGGGGTTATACCGACACGGTCGAAGCAATAGCTATATTAGTGCGACATATTTGTGAGTACCGGTAACCCTTGAGTTCAATCAAGGAGAGTACGGGGCCGCTGAGTGATGTCACTAAGCACTAATGACCTAGAACCTTACTTGACCATCTTGGCCTTTTATTAGGGGTAGTGAGATGACCGGCTTTGCGTGCAGTCCGAAGTTGGTAGATACTCGATACTACACTCATTGAGGGTTGTTTTCTTGGAATATTTTGGTCGCTAGTTAAGTGGCTAAACTAAAACAATGAACAATGAAAACAATCCCGTGATATTGAGCTCCTTAGAACCCGGTTACTATTTATAGGACAGGTTTTTTAAGCCAACTACACTCAAGAGGGTACTTACCTATGAAAACCCCATGCAAGCCTGAAACTAGGGTTTGGTGTGATTTGCTTGTACATATGTTTTGTGCATACATCATAAACATCATAAAACATCATATGCATTCACTAACCATTTCAAGGGTTTGGATCTTCATCTTTGTTCTTGTTTTGTAGGACATGGAAATTCCTCGCAGAAACACCATTCAAGTCAACCTTGTGAGAATCTCTCCTCAACTCAAGGAGCTCACCTCAAGAATTCCGGAAAGCTCATCCTTCAGTGAAAGACATGGTAGACTGCTCAGCTTAGTCAACACCAACATTGAAGAAGACATGATGAAAGTGCTATTCCAGTTCTTTGACCCTCTTCACCACTGTTTCACTTTCCCTGATTATCAGTTGGTGCCCACTTTGGAGGAGTTTTCTCAACTCCTGAGAATTCCTATCCTTAATCAACTACCCTTCAACGGTACGGAAAAGGAACCAAAGCCGGAAGATGTTGCTCGAGCATTACATCTACAACCATCCGACATCAAGGGGCATTGGGAAACCAGAAGCGGCGTCAAAGGATTCTTAGCAAAATTCTTGTTTGAGAAGGCACAAGAATGTTGGAACTCATTGGACCTACAAGCCTTTGAAGAAATTGTGGCACTCCTTATCTATGGGTTGGTCTTGTTCCCAAATCCTGACCAATTGGTAGATGTCAACGCCGTCAAAATCTTCTTGTCCAGAAATCCAATACCAACATTGCTTGGGGACATTCTTCACTCATTTTACACACGAACAATGAGAAAGAGGGGTGTTCTCATGTGCTGTACTCCTCTCCTTGCAAGGTGGTTTATTTCGCACCTTCCACAATCTGTCCTGAAGAATGACCAAGGCTCAAGGTGGTCCCAACGGTTGATGACTCTTACTCACTCTGATGTACATTGGTGTTCTCGGTCCAGAGAAAATGTCATCATCGTCGATCATTGTGGAGAATTCCCTAATGTTCCTTTACTTGGAATTAGAGGAGGTATCACCTACAACCCTTGCCTAGCTTTGAGGCAATTTGGATATGCACGGAGGGATGGCCCTCATAACATGTTGATTCCTGACCTAGTTTTTGACTTCGACAACGATGCGCAAGGACTTCGCCAAAGATTCATCAGAGCTTGGGGAAGACCCAACAAGGTTGATAGCAAGACTCTGGGACACAAGAACTCCATCCCTCTTGAGCCTTATCTCAAGTGGGTACGAGCCCGAGCCCAAAGTCTGATGATGCCTTATCCTCATGTTCTCCCTGTGATTAAAGAGCCCGTCAAGGAAGGAGAGGTCCCCTACACCATCCTACATCCAGACATGCCTACATCGTGGGAGGAAATGCAGAAAAGTTGGATTCAGCTCAAGGAGGAACGAAATACTTTTGAAGCTAGCTTCTACGCCAGTGAGAAGAAGGTTCTAGAGCTTACCCGCCGACTCCATGAGCAAGAGGCCCTTAACACCTACATCGCACCAAAGAGGATGCGCAATGTCTTTTTGCCTTGAGAAGTTATTTTGTAATATTTGGCCCATGGGGCATTTATGTACTAACAAATTTCTTCTTATTAATATGACGTGCGTTCTTCTTTGTCTGAAACAATTTTGAATGTCCTAAATCCTTGAATGCATTGCATACATAAGCATACCATTCATCATGTGCATAAGCAGGTCTCACTCCAGGTTTCCTTATCTGTTTGCTGTTTATTACAGTAGGATGGATCTCGAGCAAACAGTCAAAGACCTGCAAGCTCAAAATGCACAGTTCCAGCAACTCCTGATGACCTTGGCTAAGGGTCAGGAGGATATCAAGACTCAATTGGGGAATAAAGACCCAGTGAAAAAGAAGAAAAGAGGCTCGGGGTGGCTACTTTTGGGAGAAGATTTGACAGAGAAGCTCGGAGAGTGCTTGAATTTCCTCCTATCTCTGATGAAGGAACCAGCAAAGGAGGTGGAGCTGCGGTACCTTCCGAGTCTGATGCGGAAGAAGAAGAGGTCGAAGAGGATGAAGATTATTCTGATCAGCAATACCCTCCAGCTGATGATAAATACAAAGGGCTAGAAGACAGGTTGGCCGCCATG